GTGCAATTTGAGCATTTCAAAGAGTTAATCACAATCTACTAGTCCTGCATATTCCACATCAGTCAACGGTTTTGCCCCCTTTATTTTCATTCTCCCACACAACCCATGTAAGGGAAATAGTTTAGAAAATTCATGTAGAGAAAAAAAATACAGGAAAAGCTCAACTAACTTTATTTTAAGTGACCCAGAGCTAGCCAGACTATCAATTTAATTATTGTTACTCATATTTTATATGATGATTTTTCACCTTTATTGAAGACCTCTAGCTTTACTTGCCAATTAAGATTCAGCACAAATAAGCATAACTCAACAATAGTTTCTCCTAGACTACAAAGGCTATGGTGAGTAGGTCCCTGAATTGATGCCATGACAATTAGCAACAATGACGCTAACCCAAATTAACAACAAAACAATCCAAAAATGCCAGTAACAAATGCTGATATTTGGATATTTTAAGTTAAAAGCGAGTAGCTTCTATGATTTATTATAAAAACAAAACTGAATTCAAAACTTAGTTCCAATAGCTTCTGCAATATTATATTTGGATATAATGGTGGAGCATTTCTTCAAAAAAGCTAATGTTGAAAAACGAATCTTCAAATATGCTAATACAACCTCCAAAATACTGTTTTGGGGTTGCTTGCTTGATTATAGCCCAACGTGTTAGCTTATTTTATTGTTCTTCTTCAATGCAATCACAAGGCAAAAAGAAACAAGGCCAGATGACTAAATTAAGAAGAGTCTTTTTAGATGTGTGCTGAAGAGGAGTAGAGACCAAAGACCAAAATGTGAATATTGGGGAAATTTAGCTGAAGTGTTGACAACACTAGGGATATAGCTGCCAGTCAGCTTTCTGCCTTCTGTTCTCAGTTGAAAACACTCAACCTTTTTTTGGTGGGACTGAGAGAAGAAGCAGCAGAAAAAACGCAAAACAATTTTTTAAAAAGAGTTCTGAAATCTGTTTCCAGAGACACCACTAGTTAAAAATCGGCCTTGACAAAGGACATCACAATTAATAAGCAGAGGTTTCACAGACAAACACTGACGATTTATAATATTTAGCTATTAAATTAGCAAAAATGAAAAAGGAGTGGCACTCTTCAGTAAGGATAAAGATATGGTACTTTCATATGCAAATGTTAGAAGTGTAAATTATTGCCCTTTCAGGAACACCATTTAGATATATCTAACAAACTATGAAATACACATACCATTTTCATCCAACAACACTATTTCTAGAAAGTAACCTTGTAGACATGCTTAATGAAGTGCACAAAACATATGCACCAGGGTTTGTTTTTATATTGAAGCCTTGTTTATAATGGAAAAATAAAATAGTTGCAACTAAAATATGTAGCACAAGATATTTTTAAACTAAATTGTGTGCATCCATACAGTTAAAAACTGTTAAAATAAGGTACTGACATGGAAATATATATATATATGCAATATGTTTAATGAAAAAATATACATTCTAAAATATTGTGCACAGTATGATCACACTGATATAAAAACAATGTGTGTTTGAGAATAAATTTCTAGTAGTAATTATTTATACAGAGTATGATTACAGGGGATCTAGCTTCATATTAAGTTATTTTCATTTTACCTAATTTTTCTTTGTACCATTTCATATTTAATGTTATAATGTGAAACATAAATGTAGATATTTATGTTTAAAATTGGGGAGACATAATATTTCTTTCCCAAAACCTGAAAATAAAACACTAAATAAAGGAAAGTATTGTGTGGAAAAATTACTATGAGGAATAGTAAATATTACTGAGGTGTTTAACAGTTTTCAGAATTTTTTTTTAGTTGCAAAAGACTAGGAATTCTGATTTGATGTTGTTCAGATGAGATTCAGTATCCATTTTTGAAACTATACATAATTAATGGTCAATTATTATAATTAATTTTAATGTAAAATAAGTATAGCTCATTATATTCTATTTTGCTATTATTCAGAAGTTTTGTGTAATAATGTTTTTGCTTTTAATATGATTTCCCACCACTGCAGTGCATTTGTACACTTAGATCATCAATTTTCAACCGGTGTGCAGCAGTAGACATACTGGTGTACCACAAGGATTTTCAAAACATGCAAGAGCTGACTATTTAGTCAGGGGCACAGACCTCTTTCCCCTTAGATTGTCAAATAAAAAAATGACAACAGTCAACACAATAGCCATCTGGTGTGAATGAATCAAAATTATACCTATCTTTTTTTGTCGGATTGGCAAAAAATACGTATTATGTACATCTTCACATAAAAATGTATTCTATGCAAATAATATTCCATGTCATCTATAATAATAAAAGCATAACATGCTAATTAGACCGGACGACCTTCCGGACGAAGCTGGGGCTGCTGCTGCAGGATCGAGGCAGCCCCTGCGGCTGCGAAGGCCTACTCTTACATGAATTTCATGCATCAGGCCTCTAGTTTTTAGATAATATGGTTATAATATAAAAGTTAATATAAGTCCAGTTAGATTAATTATGTAGTGAAATTCAAACTCTATTTCCCTAGGTCCCATTTGTAAATCAAAAATGGAATCTTATCAACTCAAGGGAAGTTAGGATTGAAACAAAGTGTACCTCATAGGTCGGGGCTCCATTTATATACTGATTTCTGCCGGAAAAAGGTCACAAGCATTTCTTCTAGCACAGACAGTGCTAAAAATAGGATGTGTGTAAGCCAAAAAAATAAAATAAAATTGGAGGTTGGAAGCAGCAGAAAAATATGACAGTGTGATATAGTCAAGACTGTCATTGCACTAGGTATAGTAGGAAAATGTGAAAAATCAATAAAAATGATTTATTTAATGTTATTAGATTTTCCCTGCTGACAAAACATATTGGGTATTTCTTACACACACACACACACACACACACACACACACACACACACACCTAAAACATGCCCAAAAAGTAAAACAAGACATTTTTAACATTTTAAAACTTCAAATTATTATTTCAACAGGAAAATAATAGCCAGATAGAGCAAACACTTTTTTATTTTTAGTTTAAAAAGACTATGCTGACATTTCTAAACATTTCTTGCCTTTTCTTTTACTTTTTTGCATTTGGAAGAGAGAACAGTGTTCGATTCTGCCCTGTTTATGTTTCTACTCGGGAACAAACATTGGTTGTGTGCCTGTGTGTTTTTTTGTGTTTTTTTTTTTTTAAAAAAAAAAGAAAAAAAAAACCTCCCCCCCCTTTTCCTTGCTTTCTGCCCCGCCCCCTCCGTTCTTCCGACAGACACCCTTCCACCTTTCCTCCCCACCCTTTTTGCTTTTTTCTTTTTTTTTCCGCTCCCCCGCTCCCCCACCCCAGTTTTGTTTTGCTACGAGTCTACATTCCTGTTTGTAATACTTAGTTCGCCCAATTTTCTGTTTTCAGTAAAGTCTCCTTATGGCAAAAAAAAAAAAAAGACTATGCTGAGATATCCATTGTCTTACCACCTTTCTTTATTGCTACAGATACTAAGAAGTTTATTTATACAGGTATCTATTTTTTTTGCTACAGATATAAGAAGTTTATTTTACAGGTATCTATTTTTTTTTAAACCTCACCTGAGGATATTTTTTCCATTGATTTTTTGAGAAAGTGGAAGGGAGGGAAGGAGGGAGGGAAAAAGAGAGAGAGGGAGCACAGGCGGTGGTGATTTAACCTGCAACCCAGGTACATGCCCTTGACCTGGAATGGTTAACCTGCAACCCAGATACATGCCCTTGACCTGGAATGGAACTTGCAACCCTTAGGTGTATAGGCCGACACTCTAACCACTAAGGACACTGGCCAGGTTCTATGATTATTATTATTATTTTTTTATATATAAACACAGCGTTTTATTATCCCATCGTATAAAGATAAGAATATGTGCAGACCCGGGAATACTAAAGAGAGCTGGCAAACATTTCTTCCACTTAGTAGGCTTTCCTTTAACTTTATTGAAAGAACCACCATAGCTTCTATGACTGTGTAGCCAGGTGGCAGGTTGCAAGTTGTCTATATATAGCCAAGATTCTCCACTTAGGCAAGCATTGTTTTTGTTTGTTTTGTTTCCTTAAATAAGAGCAAAATGGAGAAAGCTCTCTCTTTTGGGGGAAAATATCCTTGCTCCTCTTGCCCCCTCAGTCTTCCATCCTGTCTTCTTCTTCTGCCTCATGACAATTCATCAGTGAATGAGTATTGAAAATAAAAATAAACACTTGCTGAAACGTAATTAGGAAGAGATTTACATGAGTTTTGTCTCTGTCTGCTCTTATTTGCCATGAAATTATGAAAAATTCAAATCTGTCTTCTTACCATTTTTATATATTGTAAATACAAGGTGACAGCAAATAAATTAGAAAATGTGGATATTTTAGACCATATGGTAATAGGTGATTGTTTGCAATCTCTGGGGATGCTTGGTTAGATTTTTAAAAAAATAGGAGCAAAATCCATAATACATTACCTAGACAGGGTCTGTATGGACTCTGGCAAATTTTAAGAATGATTACAACCACCAATTTTTTTTCTAATATATATTTCTAGAAGCTTAGGGAGCAACTAAATGATTATTCACCATCCATATCTGCATTATGATTTCATGACAAGATACATTCTTTAATAATCTGGAGCTAGAATAAACATTTGCAATAAGCCTTCAGCTAAAATTTTTCTTCAATTTTAAAAATAATAAAAAGTGAAGCTAAAAAGTCCCAGGTGTCAGACAAATGAAAACATTCTATGAAAGCACATATACCTTTACAGCTATTACTAACACAATAGTTTTTTCTCTTGGTCAAAGAAAAGTTACAATTTTTTCTAAAAGTAATAGCTCTTGGCATATAAATTTATCTCATAGGTCTGAAACAAAAGTGCAATTCATCTGCCATCAAAACATAATAAAAGTGATTATTTCAGTTTTCTATTACCTAGTGGTAGCATTTGCTCCACATATTTAAAGGAATGCTTAGACAATAAAACAATTTCAGAAAATGACTTACCCTCCTTTAATATAGTCAAGGAATGAAACTTCTGTTTCTACCAAGAAAGAGAGTAAGGTTACCTGAAAAAAAAAAAGAAAGAAAGAAAGAAAAGAAATAAAGAATGAAAGAGAAAAACAGGGCAGGATCACCAGCTAGTACTAATTGCAACCCCAAAGGAACTCCCCCCGTCCCCAACTATTGGGGAGAAAATCATATTTTCTAGCATTTGAAAATTAAAGATATTCTTTATTAAAATCTGCAGGACTGATTTTTCTTACATTTAAAATTATCAGAAGGAAAAGGGCCAAAAATTTTTAACTAACTAATTTCTATGACCGGTTTAGTTCCTTTAAAGAATAGCATAAAAATTATTTTCAAGGACACTGTGTTACTTCTCATTTTAGATAAAAGAAAAGATGAAAGGGAGTTGAAAAATGGTTAAAACTAAAAAATCAAAATGAATAAGCTTCGTTGTGTCAAAGGAAATGTGTGTCTCTGCCATGGTTCTGTAATGAGGCCATCTAATGTTTTAGGTGTCTTGCTTTATAGAAATCTTTAAAAGGAAACTTGGAGAGAATGCAGAAGTTGCTTCCCCCAAAGAGAATTAGTTTTAAGGTAAACTCTTCAGTATATTTTTTTTTATCAAAATAGGATGATTTTGATTTTTCACAATTTTAGGATACTTTCATTTTTGCACCTTCTGCACTGATTTAGTCAAGCATTCCTACAGAGTTGTAAATGTTAATGAACTATAAACAAGTACTTTCTCATGCTATAAAATGAGTCATAATAATTAAGGTTAGCCTATAAGGACTATAGTACTTTTCACTACCACTTACATTTTTTCATGTCTGCTTGATTCTCTCTAGGGTGGTTCCAAAGAAGAATTATTCTTGACAAAACTTCAGCTTCCCTCACAGGCATTATGACCCCCTTGACCTAGAGCAGTGGTTCTCAACCTTCTGGCCCTTTAAATACAGTTCCTCATGCTGTGACCCAACCATAAAATTATTTTCGTTGCTACTTCTTAACTGTAATGTTGCTACTGTTATGAATCGTAATGTAAATATCTGATATGCAGGATGGTCTTAGGCGACCCCTGTGAAAGGGTCGTTCGACCGCTAAAGGGGTCACGACCCACAGGTTGAGAACCGCTGAACTAGAGCAACCTGCAGAGAGCTGGCTCACTATCTCCCATAAGGTGTTCTCCATTAGAAATATTCCCATGGCAAGTTTATTTTTCTAGTGTATGCCTTCATATTAAAATTCTAAGTGAAGCCCTAGCTGGTTTGGCTCAATGGATAGAGCATCGGCCTGTGGACTGAGGGGTCCCAGGATTGATTGCAGCCAAAGGCACATGCCTGGGTTGTGGGCTCGATCCCCAGTGGGGGGTGTGCAGGAGGCAGCCAATCAATGATTCTCTCTCATCATTGATGTTTCTCTCTCCTCCTCTCATTTCCTCTCTAAAATCAATAAAATATATTAAAAAAAATAATAAAATTCTAAGTGAAACAGCTCAGTATTGAGTTGCTTCGATTCTGATGAAAACTGTTATACATATACATTTTTATTCATTTGTTTGAATCCTTAAAGAACAACATAATACTTGACTTACTGTTCCCGAATTAATGTATTTTTTCTTTTTTACTTTCTTTTTGGGATTCACCACCTTAAAAAGATAAAACAATTACAATGTGTTAGGTTTGATACTAAAATTATTTTAAAATGTGTAGCTCAACCAGCTGCCTTTACTTCTTATGCCTTTCTTCATTTACCAATGCCTTTATTATGACTCCTGCAGTCATTTAGCCAAAATTCCTCTGCCATAGTTACTAGGGTTATTCATCTTAAAAAGCTTTATTTTATTAATGTTCTCAATGACTTTATGCATTGATTACTCTTACCCATCTGCATCTCTTGATATGAGAAAGACCTTTAATACTGAAGGTTCTAAATAATAATAAATGCTTTGTAGAAAAAAATATATATGTTGTGACAGAAAAGTATAGTCAAAAGACATAATTTTTCAGTAGGTTAAATACACTAACATAGCAAATCACCCAAATATGTGGATATATAAGGGCTCTATGGACTATATTGCTTTATGCTGGTAATAATTTCAACCAGACATCCAGGCTGCACAATAATTGGTAAAGGTATAATTTGTGGACAGAAGACTGAATTTTGGGCTGTTTGTGCCATGAGAAATATTACTGCATCCGACAGTGTCAAGATATGGGAGGATAGAGAGAACATAAAGACAAGGAAAGCCTGTTAATCTAATAGGATAAATCAATCTAACAGGGTAAGTGCCTTAAGAAAGGATCTTTCAGCACGTCTCAAACAAAAATGTAAAGGGCACATTTTAATAGGGAAATGAAAGAATTTATAAGTATTATTTGAACTAGAATTTATTCATTTAAACTAGTGCTCCAATGAAAGGGAATAGACGAATGCAATGTTCTAGAAAGAGAAAAAAGTAATTGGCCCAAGTTGGCTGAAACAGAGCGCAAAATCATAAAGATTAAAAAAGTCTGACAGCTTATTGGCATATGGAGTTAGCAGGACACATCGCCATCTGCACTCTTGGAGATCCTAAAAGGGCCCTTTACTTGGGTCCGGTTCCTTCACAGCTGCAGTCTACCAACAGTCCTGCAGATCCAGGGTAATGGTCCTATCTGCAACCCCTTAGATCCTTAAAGGGCCCAACACTCACTCCCAGACCCACCCAGCCACAGTTGTAAGCAATCTTGCTGACACAGAGACCCACTATAAAACACTCGTGTGCACCTCAGGAGATCCTGAAATATCCCTATATTTGGGTCCAGCCCACCCAGGGGCCTAACAGGACACATGCTCATCTGTGCCTCCAGAGCCAGATCTACGGATCTCAGTCTTGGCTATGGAACCTGAAAGAGCCACGGGGCTTAGTTCCAGGCCCTCTTAGGCATGGCCCAGGTCCAGCCCACTAAGGGGAGAGACCTCCCAGGCACCTGGCAGAAGCCACACCTACCTGTGCACCTAGTAACAGGTTAGCTGACTGAAGACCCAGTACCACCCTACTGAGCAAGGCACTAAGCCAGTCTCTTCCACCTAGGGACCAATCGAGCCCCTGGTAATAAGCACACCAACCGAGGACCCCACTGTAGACCTACCAATAGCCTCAAAATGAGTTCCAACCCAGTATAACTGCAATTCTGGAGATAATGCTATCATCCCACAAATCAGACAAACTTTACCTGCCAAACTAATCTAGATTTTTAAAAACTCAGGCATATTGCTGGGGATCTAGAAGGTCAAGTATATGTGCAGGTCTCTGCATGGCCAGGAAAGACCCAAGGAAGCTCTAATCCTTAATTACTGGCCGACCACGAATCTGCTGAAAGGGCAGGTGATGGCCAAGCCAGAGTTTTAAACTGTTGGGGCACATAAGGAGTGAGCCAACGCATGCAGAGTGGTTGGTTTGTGGAGGGTTATGTGGTGACTGGCAGTAGATGAGTCCCAAGTACCAGGAGCACTGGTACACAGGCCGTTCCTCCTCAGCTTTGAGGGTAGACAGAGAAAACAGGCTTCTATGTAAGTACAGCCTGTCTTATATTCCTTTCATTGCCTGTTTAGAGCCTTAATATTACTTCCTTGAAAGACTTAGATATAAAAATTGATCCATTACTCCATCTTTGTCCTTGCCTACGAAGCTTTCTTGGGTTGAGTTTGCCCCCAACCCAAATATCTCATAGTCCACTAAGTATATACTATTATATATAGCAGTTTTCAAAATACACTAAATATATTTCCTGTGTTTGTCTCACCCATCAGACACTGAAATTTTTATTCATCATTGTGTCCCCAGGGCCGGATACAGAGTGAGAATATAGAAGCCGTGTAATAAATATTTCATTTATAAGTTAACGCATGAATGAATGCATGGAATACAACTGCTTTAGGCCAGTAAGGTGGTAGAAGGAGGTGGTTCCTCCACTCTTAACTTAAAAGAGTTCAATTTTAGCATCAATCTGGCAGGGAAATAGTTACCATTATTGACTAAATACTGAGATATTCTCATCTGCTATCCATTTATGTTAAATTTAGAAATATAGAGAATGTACAGATAACATAGCTCAAGGATTAACAGTGCTAAAACATAGCATATGCTCAACACAGACCTGGCAGTTAAGGCAGAAATCACTAGTGTGTTTGCTTTAATAATTTAGATTTCTTTAACAACTGAATCATGCCTTGCCATTCCCTTTAGTCTTCATCTAAACCACAGTGAATGTGCACAAACACACTAAGCCAAGTACAGTTCATTTTATATCACCATGCTGACACAACTAAAATGCATATTTTACTCTTTATATTTAAAAGGACTTAAGGAGGAGGTTGGTGGGAAGGCAAAACATGAAGGGTGAAGCTTAAGAAAAAAATAAACTTGCATCCTATTTAATTTTTAAAAATAAGAAAAAGTTACATAGGCAAAAATTTTAAATGTCTCAAAATAGGTTTAAAAGACCATGTCACTTGAAGAGAAATAATATCGCTTAATCTCAGAAACAAGTCTGTCAATAATTTTAAAGATTCATATATACATATGTATATGTACTAAGTTAACCTTTGACAACTATCCTTTGCAAAGTCTATACTTTTAAAGCATAAATGTATTTATTCCAGAGGAAATCATAAAATAAAATTCCTCTTACCTCATACACATTGAATTGTGACTGCCCTCGAGAAAGTTCCCTGTAGCTCGTTGTAAACTCTCCAATGAAATCATGACTAAAATTAAGGGAGAAAAAAAACATATAGTATTAGTTTTCATATATCTGTCAATTATGTGTAAAGCTTTTAAGAAATGTATAGTTTAATCATGAAGAAAATGCTTGATATTGTTATAAACATAGCTTAGCTTATACTTTAAAGGAGACTGATACGTAATTTCATTGTTCTTTAACCCCAAATTTTGTGTACTCAAAAATTACATTTTGTTAGCATTCAAATAATATTTAATTTATCCCACCAATATTAATATTTTAAACAGGAATATTAGCTTAACAACTGAGATTTCAAAAACATTTCAACTCCTGTGTATCCAAATAATTATTTATTGGGATGAAAATTTAAGACACTCAAAAATTTATTATTACACATGTCAATAATCACAAATATAAAAAATCACCAAACTTTCCTGTGATCAGGATATAATAGGACACTCTTTTTAAAATGTTATCCCTTGTTAACATGGATAATAGTCACCAAGCTTTATTTTCAATAAGGACAATTTAAAAGTATACCGTGAATACCCAACATGGTTATTCTGAGTTTCTTCACCTTTTTAAAGCAATAGCCACTGAGAAAGCAGGCCTTCTACAGATGCCTTCTCAGTTTCGGCGGGAGGGGGAGGGGTTGAGTAAGCATGTGTTAGCACCAACTATAAAATGCGTATCAGCATGATTACTGAGACTGACCTATGCAACTTTAAGACATGTTATGCATTTAGCAGTTTAGAGGGAACTATATTCCACTACTCTTTGCTAATTTAATGGTCAGCACTAGGTTGAACACAAACTGCTAAGAAATAAGGGTGAAATGTTGGTATCCGTCCCATGGTAAAATGTAGTGCCTCAGAGGAAGAAGATGAAGACTGTAGGAACTAAAGTCCTATAACAAACATAAGGGATCTTGCTGCTATTCTTATCATAGAAATTAAGATTGGTCCATTTGCTTTGCAAATGAAATCTGTTCATTATCATAAAAATGAACATTCCTCCTCCTCCCCCCACCCCACCCGGGTTTGGTTTAATGCTTAGCTGAGTCACTAAAATCTATAAACCTCCCACAGACCTGATGACCAATGACAAGCCACAAAAAGTTGTGTCTAGCCAAGCAAATACAATTTCTAAAAGATGGAATGTGGAAGAAAAACACTAGCTGTCATTTCCTTTGATTAGAATTTCTGCAATAAGAAGTGTTTCTTTAAAAAGAATTATTGCCCAGCCGGTGTGGCTCAATGGTTGATCGCTGACCTATGAAACCCTGGTCATGGTTCTATTCCTGGTTAGGGCACATGCCTGGGTTGTGGGCCCATCCCCAGTAGGGGGCATGAAGGAGGCAGCTAATCCATGATTCTTTCTCATCATTAATGGTCAACACTGTTTCTATCGCTCTCTCCCTCTTCCTTCCTCTCTCTGAAACCAATAAAAACATATTTAAAAATTTTTTTTAAAGAATTATTTAAAATATAGCTCACTTAGATATCTAGCCTCCAGTTCTATCTCAAAGATCTTCTACATTTATCACAGTATTCTATACATGGCACTCCTCTACCCCAATATCACCTTAACCTCTTCAAGATTTAATTTTCAGAAGCAGATCTATACACATGAAAATGGTGGGGGAAAAAAGTTAATTGAAGGCTGTGATCAATATATTTGCATTTATGAGCCCAAACCCCTAGCACTCTCACTCTTTCAAGATACACAAGGAAAATTATAAAACAGGACTTTAGTGCTATACATTTCTTTTTTTAAATATATTTTTATTGATTTCAGAGAGGTAGGGAGAGGAAGATATTGAGACCGAAACATCAATGATAAGAGAGAATCATTGATCGGCTGCCTCCTGTACGCCCCCTACTAGGGATGGAGCCTGTAGCCCGAGCATGTGCCCTTGACTGGAATCGAACCCAGGGCCCCCCAGTCTGCAGGCCAAAGCTCTATCCGCTGAGCCAAACCAGCTAGGGCAGTGATACACATTTCTTATAAATAATTCTCTTCGACCTTCAGAAGTGCAAGTTAATACTTGTGATATCTTTCTCTGCAGATCTTAACAACTTAAATTAGGGAGATTCTGTTTTGAATCTATCCTCCTTCATTGTTATGCGTGTTTCTGATATCTTAAGTAATAATTACTGAGATAAAGGTTCTATTTATAGGACTCCACCACAACACTTTGATATTGATAAGTATGGACAAGCCTAATATAACCAGAGCTCACCACATGAGTGATAGGAATCTATTATAGAGGCCTTAAAAATAATGCCTGAATCATTTAAGCCATTAGGTAATTTTCTGATTTTACAAATCCTAATCCCACTTGGTTAACTGTTTAAATTCAACTCTTATTGTTAACATTAAATTCCTGCCACTTAACACTAATCAAAAACTTGGTAGAGACAAGCAATATTTACTGTTCTCAAGTAAATGTAATTAATCAAGTCCCAAGTAATACATCCATCTAGATAAAGCTAGTCCAGTTGTAACTGGACAACCAAGGGGTCCAGGCTGCCTGTCACTACTTGAGCCAATTAAGCAGAGACAGGGTTGAATCATACGTGAGTCTTTATTCCAATACTGCCAGCAGTATGGGAGAGCAGCAGGTCATCCACAAAAATCTGCTCTGCCTCTCCCCATAATCCAGCTGCTTATATTGGGTAGAAGGACAAAGATTATGTGGGAAAGTAGGAATTATAAGCATGGGAAAGTAGGCAAGGTAGAATCATCATAGATTACAAAACATGCAGGCTGGGGGGTGGGGGGAGCGGTCACAGAGGGTAGGTGCCTCCAGGCACCCCAGGACCAGATTACAGGCAATAGGGGCCGGGGTTGTAAAGAGTGGGTGCCTCTAGGACTAAACTGTTTCAGCCACGAGGTTTGTAAATCTTTCCATAATGATAGGCAGTTCTCGGGAAAGGAGGATGAACTGCATTGCGTATCAGCTTCCGTGTCCCAGGGCGTACAACTCTCAGCCTGGGTATACAACTCTCTGCACTGTCCCCTACAGCCTTTTCTGATAGAGAACCAATATTTTCTCCTGGCTTCAATTTCCTCACATTGTTTAGTTCACCAGATTCTACTATGTGCTTTATATAATACTAGAGGCCCAGCTCATGAAATTCATGCGCGGGTACGGTCCCTAGGCCTGGCCTGCAATCAGGGCCATCTTCCCCAGCTTCCCGCAGCTGGCCCTGCCCCCTGCCACCACCCACCCCTGGTTCCCCATTCGCTATAGGGTGATTGGTGCCTGATGGCCAGGGAAAAGGACTGAGAGGTTAGCTGTTCCCGCCCGCTCACCAGCCCCGCCCCTGTCTCAGGTGGCCATCAAGCATTCGGAGTCTGCCAGCCGGGAAAAGGGACTAAGACAGTGATGGCGAACCTATGACACGTGTGTCAGAGATGACATGCGAACTCATTTTTTTGGTTAATTTTCTTTGTTAAATGGCATTAAATATATAAAATAAATATCAAAAATATAAGTCTTTGTTTTACTATGGTTGCAAATATCAAAACATTTCTATATGTGACACGGCACCAGAGTTAAGTTAGGGTTTTTCAAAATGCTGACACGCCGAGCTCAAAAGGTTCGCCATCACTGGACTAAGAGGTGGTCAGTGTGTCTCATATTGACTGGTCCAGCGGTTGTTCTGCCATTAGGGTCAGTTTGCATATTACCCTTTTATTATATAGGATAGAGGCCTGGTGCACGAGTGGGGGCTAGCTGGCCTGCCGTGATGGGGGCCCTGGATCGGGGTGGGGAGATCCCCACTGGCTGCCAGGATAGGGGCCAGAGGGTTTTCAGGCCAGCCCTGCCCTCAATCAGGGTGGGGGTCCCAGCTAGGGGGCAGGGCCAGCCTAAGCGAGGGGTCTGGGGCTGTTTTCAGGCCGGCCATGCCCCCATCAGGGTGGGGGGTCCCCACTGAGACGGTACAGCCTGGGCAAGAGGCTGCCAGGGGTTTGCAGGCCGGCCATGCCCCCCATTGGGATGGGGGTCCCCGCTGGGGGCCAGGGTGGCCTGGGCGAGGGGCTTCAGGCAGTTTGCAGGCCAGCCACGCTCCTGACTTTGTCAGAAAGGAAGTCCGGAAGATGTCAGGTCTAATTAGCATATTACCCTTTTATTAGGATAGATGTTTATTATATCTTATTATAAGCTGCCTTGGATCCTTTTAAGAATAAGAGAACATAAATAAATTTAAAAATGAGTAAAAACATGCCCCCCATTCTGAATCTTGTTCAAGATGGCTATTTTGAATAAAAAAATGAATTTGCATATCAAACAAATGAAATGCTATTCTTGTGTTATAGAGGAGAAAATGAATTAAGTGAGTCACAAATTGCTTTTCAGCCTCTGAGACATTTCTGTGAAATTAAAAATGGATGATCAAGAGGTGAGAATGTGTTCAAAGTTCATGAACATAAGGCAGTAAGTAGCACAATAAAATAGTCAATCTTAGAAGTAAGGTGCCTTGTCTCCAGAATAAATCAGAGAATTTGGGTGGATAAGTGGAGAGATTCTCAGGTCAATTTTGTTATAGATGTCTCAAAATATTGGACATTTTTATAGTTTTCTTTGTTACCTGTCCTACTTAAAAAACTATATTAAATTATAGATTAGTACTTTAAAAAAGTATTAAACACGGTTTTCACTGATTTATTCTTATAATTATCTTTTCCCATATCATCAATTATTCCTAGATTTTATTAAGATTAAAGGAAGGAAAATTAAATGTGCTATAATATTTATATCTGTTCATGATTTTCAATGGTATAACATTGAAACAACTTTCACTATACAGAGAAATATGACAAAAAGATTTTCATAATAAATCACAATTTCCTTGTGATTCAATAATACTGTTTCGCTATTTCCTATTAACTTAATTGAAACTAAAATAACTTTCCTGTACTATAAGCCTCTCTGACTACATTTACAAAATAGAGTTTACTCCCTGATCTGATTTACATCTGATTCCTCAATTTTTCTCTCAACAAACTCTTAAAGCT